TTTAAATAAAATCTACCCTACCTGGCTGCTCCCAGGCTTTCCTGAGCTGAAGAAAGCCTGAGTGTGTTGTGCAGTGTTCAATGTCATCACAAAAAGAAGCTACAGTTTGATCAAAATAAATAGTTCCTAAGAACAAGTTAGTTGTGTAATTTGAGCTTTTTAGTGTCTATTGTAGCTGGAAACTGCTGTCAACAAATAAAATTCCTTTCTAATGTAGTGCTGGTCAACTTTTCACAGCATAAGGCAGATGTTGTCTTGGCAGATTATTGATTCACACCGTGATGCACAGATGCATCCAACACAAATATAATTCAGTCACAAATAAATGCCTGGTAAATAGATGGAATTGAATCCTAAAATATTTTGTTCTTTTAGTAGACCGGCTTTGTTTCTCAACCAGTTTGCAGATGTGATTCATGTGTTTCTTATTACTAGATAAAGGACTGAAATGGTTGCATGTAAAACCACATTTGTTCTAGAAAATAGAGCTCTTGGCATAACATGATGTGCCCAAAGTTTAAGTTTTTCAACATGAAGCCCATCTGAGTAGTGACTAAGATGTTTTTGCACCTTTGAAATCTCTTGGCCAATTCTGAATTGTTTTTACCAAGAAAGCTGTAGTTTAAAATCTTAAAAGCTTTAAAATCAAATATATTTTAAACTGAGTTATTCTAAATTATAAGTTTTCAGTTAAAAAAATGAAAAGAAATTGCTTTCCTTTTTTAACTATCTTAGGCATTAAACATTGTAATTTCTTGACATAAATAAGGGGATGAAAGTGAACTTTATGAAAATTACATTTTTTTTTTAAATCCAAGCTTTTAGCTCTAGTATATTTTTAGCAGTAACAATGTAACCTGCCTCATTTTATAGGTAGAATTTTTTTAAATGAGCCTTTGCTAATAAAACATTTGCTAGTTTTGATGGAACAGAGTCACAGACAAGCCCATTTTAAATAGGAGATTAATCCTTGTTTTTCTCTTTAATTTTCTGTAGTATGACAAGCCAGTTTAATCACAAATTCAATAATGTGTGCCAAGATTTTTATTGCAAAGCTGTAAATGAGCTTCTTTGTGTATCTCCTTGTACTTTCTCTTTTCAAAGGCTCATTGCAAAAAGATTTAATGCTACTAATGATAAATACAAATAAACCCCAAATGTCAACCAGGGACCTCCCTTGTGTCTCTTTCTCTTGCTTCTAATTAGGGGGCATAAGAAATTTGAGCACAGGGATTTAAAAGCAAACAGAGAAACCACTGGAGAGCAGAGAGCAGACACTGGCACTTTCACTACAAGCTTGCACTGATACATATTCCTGCAATAACTGTGCAACACTAAACCACCACTGTTCTCCTGCTGCTGCAGAGCAGCGAGTGGCAGCTGTGCTGCATCCCTGGGGCTGCTGAGGGTGTACAGAGTCTAATTAAAAAACCTGTTGGCACCCCTAGCAGGTTACCTGAAGGAGTCAAAGGGAGATAAGCAACACCCAGCGAGCAGCCAGGTAAGCTGGCTTGGTCCATCATCTGCAGCAGTGACTGATGGTGGCATTCCAGCATGCTGGAGGTGCCGTGTCACCCTTAATGGGGTCAGACTGTCCTCACCACAGTCTGGAGACCCTGATTAAAAAATACCAGGCTTGCTTTCCTCACCCAACTAAGGCTGCCCTTCGGCACTACAGACAATCATTCAAGCCTTGCTTTTGCCAGCTGGATGACAGAGATCATTAGCACAATAAAAAACAGAATACAGGAACTGCCACATCGGATCAGACCAGTGTTTCACTAAGTCCTGCGTCACAGCCCTGCCCACAGCCCATTCCACAGGCTTCAGGGGAAGGTGAGAGAAACCACACTGTTGGAATGCTGTGATGTAGGGCTTCCAGAAGGAAAATATGGCTGGTATGTCAACATGTCAACTCCCTCTCTCAACCTGAAAAATAAGGAATGCAGCTCTAGTGTTTAGGGTCACAGCTGCTGAAGCAGAAGGCAGGGAAGGAAGGAGTTTAGACACTACCTCACCTACCCATCACAGGTGCTTAAATTAGGCATTGTGAATGTCCTTCCTTGGTCCCACCATCTATTTTCTCTGCTTGTTGCATGTGATCAGTGATATTTTTCTTCCTCAGAGGAGTGAGATAAGAATAAAATTCTAAAAGATGTTCAAGTTTGCAAACATTTTTACCATTAGGAAAAATAAAGAAAATAAATACCAGAGACAGGAATATGTACCAGGAGATCTCAAAGCACTTCACATAAGATATTGAGAGGCATTTTCTCCATGTCATAAAGAAAGTTAATATTTCTTCCTGGATGCATAGTAAAACTCTTGTTAACTCTAAATGTCCCCCTTCTCTATAAACATAGAATTTGTTTTGAAATTCCATCACTTATTTAGTCCTGGAGACACATAGAATCACAAGTGGTTGGCTTAGGGGCCCATTATGTAGTTTGTGTTCTGTTTCTCCACTGTAACTCTTGGTGGTTCCAGTTGTATGAATTACAACAACATCAGTTTTCTCATGAGCCCAAATGCAGCAATAAACATTCATAGCACCATGTTCTAAGGCCAAGATTTTAAAACTAGTGGGAATCCAAATGCCTGATTTCAGGTGTTTAAACAGCTGGTTTTCTAAGCAGACAGAATTTGTGCCAATTGATTGACCCTCCTTCAGGGGCTGAAAGTTGGATATTCAGCAAGGGATCCATCCAAAGTTATGGGTGAGCTTGAAAGACTTGACTTTCCAGATTGTATCTTTTGGGGGCACCAGTGGATAGCAGGCCAAAAAAGCTGCTTTTCATAGTAGACAGAAAGAACAAACTGAATTTCAGAAGAAAACAGCTCCTTTAATTCAAACTACATATTACATACTACATATGTAAATCTCTTAGTTCAGCTTAAAGTTTGGTCCAATCCAGAGCAAACACAAGCTATCACTTAATGCTAATTGGAATCGGCATGATCTTTTCAGTATTCATGTCCCCAGACAGGAAAATGCTAATGAAAACAAGCTTTGAAATCAGCATTTAGCATGATTTCTGACTAGCAGAAGTGCAATTTTGCTGTTCATCCCAGCATTAACAGTGCAAACAAAAGCCAAAGCCTTAAATCAGAGAGGAAAAAAAGCAACACACCAAATGCAAACCAAACAGACTTCTCCAGAACACACTAAGTTACTAACAGTAAGAATTTTTAAGCAATCTGGTTTTCACCCGGCTTGTCAGCAGAGATTTAAAGCAGTGGCACAAGATGACTCCCAGCATTAACCTTTCTGCTGCTTCTCCCTGCAAGACCCTTGCAGAGTTGCTACCTGCACTCCAGCCTTGCTCAATCCAGCAAAGTCACACAGCAATGTATTCATGTTGATTTGCAGATATCCCTCACCTGGCTCTGAACAGCTACACACAGGGGAGACCCCACAGACCCCAGCACTTGCTGGGAAGTGGCTCAGGGACCATCCTTGATGTGGGACAACCCCTAGTACCTCATGAAGGTATGTTATGATGTCAGCAGGAAGCCAGCACAGAGGGAAGAGAGGAGATGGGTTTCCCCTTTAACCTGGCATGTTTAGGAGGGAAGGAAGGAGGGAGGTGTAGGGGATGAACATTAAACCCTGACCATTTACCACACCTGGCCAGAGTGGAATGGGTTGTGAAACTGAACCTAGAATTCTGGAGAATTCGGGAATGGGATGCTGAATCCTGTCACCCATGGGGATGTCTCAACACTTGCGGGACATATAGGGATGTTGCCATGGCTGTGGGACTCAGAGGAGTGTCACAGTAAGTGAGGACCCACAGGTGATGTCACAACGGGTATGGGACCCACAACGGATGTCGCGATAGACGTGAGATCCTTGGGGACCTCACAACACATGAGGGACTCTGGGGTCGTTGCAATGGGTGTGAAACACAGGCACAATTCCTTAGAATCACTGCCTCCTCCTCAACCCCAAACCAGTGTCTCCAGGGGGGTGAACCCAAATCTGTCTGGTTTTTTTTCCAAAAACTAATGAGAAAAGTCCCAGCTGAGAATTCTGGAGAAGTCTGAGTCCTGCTCCTGGCCAGAAAAAGGCTTTAAAAAGCTTAAAACCACCCATCTTGAACTTGGACAAATGACATTTCTTAAAATAAAAGCAAATAAAATAGGTTTTTCTTTTAAAAAAGATCAAAACAAACCAACCAACCAACCAACCAAACAAAAAACCCCCACATCCCCCCACCCTAAAAAAAAAAAGAAAAAAACAAAAGGAGAGTTATTAAGATAATACTTTTAAAACTCTAGGTAAATACAGAAGGACTTTTCCTTAAAGTGAAGAGAATAAAAGGGAGGTTTTCCTTAAAAAGCACCCATAAAATACAGATATTTTTAAAGAGTTTTTTTCCTTCCCAAAAAATAGAATTCCAGTGCATAAGGGCTTTTCTCCTCTCTCCCCCTATCCTGGAAAAAAAAGCCAAAATACATAAGAAAGATTTATTTTTTAGTCTCAAAATAATAAACAAATAATTTTAAAAGGACTTTTTCATTTAGGAAAATTAAATCAGGGGATGGGAGTTCCCCTGAAAAAAGCAGAAAATGAGAAGAAATGAGAAAATAATGGAGAACTTCTTGAAAGTCCTAACATGCAGGGATTGAGGGTTTTTTCTTCTCTCCGCAGTAAATGCCATAAAATAACCCCAAAACTAAGGGAAGTCATGGAGGGTTTGTTTTTTGGTGGTTTGTTTTTTTTGGCAGGGGGAGGCTGTTGCTCAGCAGAGAAGAAACCCAGAATCCCCCATCCTGAAATTCCTGAAATTTACTATTTTGGGAGTAAAAAACCCTGTGAAGTGATGAGGGATCCAGAGGTGTCTCCAGAACCCCAAAATTATTCATAAAGAGGCTTGTCTGTGCTTAAGAAAAAAAAAAGAAAGAAAGAATCTGGAGGAGCCAAAAATCCACAACTCGTGAACTCAAATACCCCTTTCTAAAAAATCCTGGGAGAGCTCAGAGAGCTTGGGTGGGCGGGAAGTTGGCAAATTCCCTATTTCCGTGCTTTTTTGATAAAAGAAGGATCTGGATGAGGTAAACCCCAGCATTTTTAGGTGTTGGAGCTCATTTTCAGGCCCCGGTTCTTCTATTCATCGGAATCCAGGTGAGGGAACTTTTATTCTGATGAGGATTTCAGTCATTCCCTGGAATCCTCTCTCTTTAAATTCCTTATATTTCATGGATTAAGAAAGCTTTCTCTCTTTAAATTACTTAAAAATGCATGAAAAGGGACAAAAACATCCTGATTTTATGCATTAAAAAAAGGGCAAACAATCATGTATTTGTGCACAAAAATGGCAAAAATCCTCAATTTGTGCACACAAAGGGCAAACACTTAAGATTCAATTAAATAAAAATTTATTAAAAATCAAAATGAATAGAAAATACATAAAAATCAAATTAAATTAAAAAGTCAAATAAATAGTCAATTAAATTAGAACTAAAAATTTAAAATTAAATGAAATAAAATTAAATTGAAAACTTCAATTAAAGTTCAATGATATTAAATTAAAAATAAAAAAATTAAATTAGGAAACCACCAAAATTAAATTACATGAATACTGGAAAATAAATTAAAGATAATAAAATTAAAATGCCAACTTTCCAAATACTTCACTTAGTTAAAGAAGTGTTTAGAATAACACATTCCCCCTGCCTCCCACAAAACATTCCTGGGAAAAGAGCCTGGATGGTGTTTCAAAGTGGGATTTTTTTGCCTCCAGACCCTCATTATTGCTTTGTTTTGCCTCCAGACCCTCATCACTTTCTGGGACTTTTTGGGGGGATTGTGGTTTAGGGATTTTTTGTTGGTTTATCTTTTTTAAATTTTCCCCGATTTTCACATTTTTTTTAGGGTCGAGGATGTTACCCTCTGGTGTTTTCCTCCTCCTGATTTTGGGTAAATTCTGAAAAATAGTTATAATTTTCATCCCTGTTGGGGAATGATGGATTGACTCATTTCTTCCCACTCCCTTCCCCCCTTTTCTTCTCCAGGATCCGTTGTGGACACCAACACCTCATCTGAAAAAGGTGAATTTGGCAGGTTTTGCCTTAAAACCCACTATTTCCACCTAAAACAAGCTTTCTCTAACCCCCATTATACCATTTTCCCATTATTTCTCCCCAAATCTATATGTTCCTTATGTAATCTCCATGGGGTAATTCCCTAACACCCCAGTTTCACCTTGATCACATCTTAGCAGACAAACCCATTTTTAGGTATCCAAGAACACAGAAACCCCAAATTTGGCATGTTTCACTTCAGTATCCATATAGTTAGATGTTTTTTGAGGGGAGAGTTCCCAAATCTTGATTTTGCCACAGGGTCCCTGCTCTATCCCTACGGACCAGACCAGGGCGACCAGACGAATCCCAAACATGATGATGGGACATCTGAGAGGATCGCCCTCTTCACTCCCTTTACCTTCTATGGCAAAACCCATGAAGCTCTCTTTGTAGGTCACTGAAAATTCAAGATTTTGGGGAATTTCCTCCATTTTTCCCAATTTTCTCTCTGTTTCTGCTTCATTTTTCACTTGTCTGTGTCCCTACCCCCAAACTCCCTTCTCCAAATTTAACCCAGTTTGAGTTCATAGAGGAGTTTGTTTTGGGGCATTGAAAAGTCTTCAGGTGGGTCTTGAGAGGGTTGGGGAGTACTGGAGGGTTTGGAGGGGTTTGGAGGGTCCTGTGGATTGTGGGTGTTGGGCGGGTAGTCCTTGGTGGTCCTGTGGGTGATGGGTGGTGAGAGGTCTTGTGGGTAGTAGGTCTTGGGGTGTTGGTGAGTGTTGTAGAGTCCTATGAGTAGCAGGTTTTGGGAGGGTCCCCGAGGGGTGGGTCTTGATGGGGTTGGGGGGTGTTGGGTGCTTTTGTGGTTGGTGGGTTTTGGGGGGTTCTAGGGGCATTTGGGGGTCCTGTGAGAGAGCATTTCTATGGGTGGGGGGGCTTGGGGGGGAGGCCTGTGAGTGGTGGGCCTTAGGGGGTTGGTAGGTATTGGGAAGTCCTGTGTGTGGTGAGTCTTGGGGCCCTTGTATAGTCCATGTCCACACCCCAAGTCAAGATGATGCACCCCCAACCCCTGTCCCCATCCCTTCCTGGTGTCACCTGCAGGTGAACAACAATGGGGTGATCTCCTTTGATGAACCTGTCAGAGAATACACCCCCGATCCCTTCCCACTGGTGGATGGGCGCTCCTTCGTGGCCCCTTACTGGGCAGATGTCGACAACGTGCTGGGTGGGGATATCTTCTACCGTCAGACCACCAATGAGGTGCTGCTGGGGGACATCAGCCGAGACATCAACCAGTACTTCCCCGAAACCCTCTTCACTGCCACCTGGGCCTTTGTGGCCACCTGGGACCACGTGGCCTACTACGGCTCCACCTCCACAAAGGTGAGTCTGTGGCTGGGGCATGGAAGTCACTCATTGGCTCTTGTGACTCACTTGGTGGCCTTGGTGACCAACCTATCTTTGGTATCCATGACCCACCCTTTACTTCCACAGCCAATCCTTACCTCCATGACCAGTCCTTGACCTCTGTGACCTTTTCCATAGGGCAACACCTTCCAGGCTGTCCTGACTACTGACTCCAAGACATTCTTCATCATCCTAAACTACTGGGACATCCAGTGGACCACAGGAGCGGCGAGTGACGGGGATGCTGAAACGGGGCTTGGAGGGATTGCAGCACATGTAGGTGGGGAGGGGGGGAGGAGGAGGAAAACGTCCCACTCCATCTTCTGGGCATGATGATGAAGGTTAGGGATTGGCCTATCCCATCTTCTGAGGATGATGATGACAATGATGATGATGATGATGATGATGGTGATGATGATGAAGACTAGGGATTGGCCCAAAATATTTTTAAGGGGAAGTCCAGGATGTCCTGTCCCATCTTCTGGAGATGATGATGAAGGTCAGAGGTTGGCCCATCCTATCTTCTGGGGAGGAGGATGATGAAGGTCAGAGGTTGGTCCAGTCCATTGTCCAGAGATAGTTATGATGAATGTCAGAGATTGGCCCACAGTGATTTGGGGGGAGATTGAAGTTGTCCCACCCATCTTCTGAAGAGGCTCATCATGATGGTGAAGGTCATGGATTTGGTCCATAACATTTTTGAGGGCCACCAACAGTCAGTGCTCACCTCCTAACATAATTTTGGGGTCCCAACACCCCCTTGGGTGGGGTCAGTCCCCACAAATTCCCCCCAAATTTTCCAGGCGGGATTCAACAGCGGTGATGACACCAACTTCTACAACATTCCCGGATCCCAGACAGATGCCATCATCAACATCACTTCCACCTCCAATGTCAATGTCCCAGGGCGCTGGGTCTTCCGAGTGGACAACTTCCAGTTGACGGGTGTGGACCCTCCCAAGGTGAACGAGGACAGTGACTGCTGGTTGTAAGTTGGAATTCTGGGGAGGAAAATTGGGAATTTCAAGGAAAAGTGGGAACTTGGGGGGATAATTTGGGAGTTAGAGAGAAAAAGAGGGGATTTTGGGGGATAATTTGTGCTTTTGGGAGGAAAATTGGGGATTTTGGGAAAAGATGGTGAATTTGTTCAGGGAAATTGGGAATTTGGGGTGAAAAGTGAGTATTTGGACATGTAATATTGAGAATTTTGGGGGGGAAAGTGGGGATTTTATGGAATAATTTTAGAATTTGGGGCAAAATTGTGAATTCTGGGGGGAATACTGGGGAATTTTTTTAAAATTGGGAATTTGGGAGAAAATTGGGGAATTTGGGGGGAAACTGGGAACTTTTTGAGGAAATGGGGATTTTTTTTGGGGGGGGAAGTGATTTTTCTTCTTGGGCTCTTGATGTCTCCTGTAGGTGAATCTAGGGGGCTGGGACAGAGGGACATCCCCATTACCACCACTGTCTTCAATGAAGTCAATTGGAAGGTCAAGGTCATGTCCTCCTCTACCAGAGCAATAAAATCACATCCAAGACATTGATTGTAGTGTCCATGTCATTATCACAGCCATGGTACCCATGGTGACATCATCACAGCCATGTCACAATCACTGTTCCCACAGTTCCAGGGGATCTGAGGGGCTTTGGGTGAAATGTGCTGGAGTTCATTCCTTTGTGCCTTTTTGGGTGTTAATTAATGAGTTTTTGCACTGTATGAAGTCAAGTTCACACAGTACCTGTGCATAACACAGAATATGGCACCTCCCCCAAAAATGTTGCACCCACAACACGCTCCAACATGAAACCACGCACGCCCAACACTCCCCGTGCCACACAACACAAACAACACAAAAACTAGGACAATACGCCAAAACTGTTGCTCCTACAACACACTCTGACATAACACAAGGCATGCAAGACAAAACTTTACCCCTTCACTCCCATTCACAGAATCACAGAATAATTAAGATTGCAAGAGAACTCCAAGATCATCAAGCCCAACCTTCGACCAAACACCACCTGGTCAACTAGACCAGAGCACTGAGTGCCACATCCCATCATTTCTTGAACACTTCCAAACTTGGTCACTCCACCACCTCCCTGGGCAGCCACTTCCAGTGCCTGACCACCCTTTCTGCAAAGAAATTCTTCCTAATACCCAACCTGATTCTCCCCTAGCATAGTTTGAGACCATTTCCTCTTGTCCTATTGCTGGTTACCTGGGAGAAGACTCTGACCCCCACTTGGCTACAACCTCCTGTCAGGTAGTTCAGAGCATGAGGAGGTCTCCCCTGAATGTCCTCCAAGCCAAACATCCCCAGCTCCCTCAGCTGCTCCTCACCAGACTTGTGCTCCAGACCCTTCCCCAGGTCCATTGGCCTTCTCTGGACATGCTCCAACTGCTCAATGTCTTTCTTGCCATGAGGGGCCCAAAACTGACCCAAGGATTTGAGGTGTGGTCTCATTTTTGCCCAGGACAGGGGTACAGTCACTGCACTGTTTCTTGCTGGCCTTACTATTCCTGATCCAAGCCAGGATGCCATGGGCCTTCTTGGCCACCTGGGCACTGCTGGCTCATATTCAGCCCCTGTTGACCCCCAGGTCCATTTCCACTTGGCAATTTCCCAGCCACTCTGCCCCCAGCTTGTAGCATTGCAGGGGGGTCTTGTGACCCAAGGATGGGATCCAGCACTTCCCCTTGTACCGCATACCATTGATCTTGGCCACTCAATCGTTTTGATTCCACAAAATGATTTTTTTCCCTTCCCCCCCTCCCTTTTTTACACCAATCATCCCCTGCCATTTCTGCAAAAAATACCTAACCTTCCCTATTTTTGCCCTCCCCTGATTTCTACTTGTTGTTTTGGGAAAATTTGAACCTCATCTTCCAAAAAAACCACAACTTTATATTTGGTAATGCCAATTGTTTGCATTAGTTTCAATAAAAAACCCTGTTTTTCTCCCCTGTTCACCTTTTCCGGCCAAAAATTATGTCAAGGCATTGGGTGGGGTGGTCCCTCAAGGGTGCCTGGATTAGTCATTTTTTTCCCTGTTCTTCTGCCAAAATTAAAAAATAATTGAGGGAGGAGCCAGAGCTGCTGCCCTGGGATTGTGTTTTCATCACAGATTTGGGGATAAAACAGAGCTCTTTGGGGATACGAAGCTAATTTGGGAATATAACGGGGCCAGAGGCAGGTAAGGGCAAAACTACATCTAAAAATTGATAATTTCTTTCTGGCAGGAAACCTCCAAATCGGGAAAATCCACCTGGAAATTCCTGAAATTCCTCCCCTCACCCTCCTCAGCTCTGGTTCTGGTCCTTAGAACAGTGGGATTGGAAGATGTGTGAGGGGATTTGGGGGAAAAAAGAGCAGGAAAGATGGAGGAAAGGGAAAAAGGGGGGGGGAAAGGGAGGAAAGGAAAAAGAGCAGAAAGGGGAAATAAGAGAAAGAAGGGAGGAAAAGGGGTAAAAGAGCAAGTAACAGAAAAAAGAGAGGAAAAGAAAAAGGGGGAGGAAAGGGAAAACAGTGAAGAAAAAGAGGGGGAAATAGGGAAAGTGGAGGAAAAGGGAAAAAGTGGGGGGAAAGGAAACAAGTGGAGGAAAGGGAAAAAAGCAGAGGAAATGAGTGAAAAGAGGAAAAAGGGAGAGGAAAGGGAAAAAAGATAAACAAATGGAAAAGCAAAAAAGGGGAGGGAAGGAGAAAAATGGGATTAGAGTGCAAAAGGAGATTGAGGAAAAAGGGGGGAGGGGAAAATGGAGCAAAAGAAACAAGAGAATGAAGATAATAAGGGGAAAAGGAAAACAGGAAAAAATTAGAAATGGCCAAAATGAAAAGGGAGGAAAGGGGAAAAAGAAGCAAAGGGATCTTGAATGGTGGGGGAGGGCATATAGAAATGTCCCCCAGAAAACTTGTTTTGGGGTCAGGTGCACTAAAGTGTAGATGTCTAAATATGTGTAGTAAAAGTAGTGGCTTTGGGGGACTATGTGAGTGACAAAATCAGATTTTTAGGGGCACATTCAACAGAACACCCCTTTTTGGGATGAGTGCAAGGGTGAAAACCACAGTTTTTGGGGATTTGTGAGTTTTAGGTCAAAAAGTGAGTGAGTTTGGTGCAAATTCTAGTGAGATTTAAAAAAATCTGAGAATTTGACTGTTTTCTTGCCTTTTGCACCCAGAGCATCATGGATGGCAGCCTGGGAAAAGCAGATGTGCCACACTGGTTCTGGATTGTCATGTTCTGGGGTAAGTTCCAGCTGGGTGGAAAAATGCCCCAGAAGCTGCAAGATTCCCCTCAGATAATGAATTTGCCTCAAAATCAGGGTTTTCCAGTCCCAAAGAAGGGTTTCCTAGGTCCAAATCGCCATCTTTTGCCCAAGAAATTAATTGGGGTTTTGTCAAATTTGTAATTGTTCAAATTGTTTGTTTCTGTTAATGATGATCTAGCAGATTAGTCTAATCAGTTAAATATTTGTTCAGATCAATGGAGTTTATTCTCTCATCTGGAAAATGCAGTGTATTGAAAGTCCATCCAATTAATGATCTAACAAATCAATACTTCATCAAATTAATAGTCAATTACATTAAAAATAATCAATCAAATTAACAGTTTGTCAAATAAATAATCATCAAACTGTACATTCAATCTATTTTATCAATATTCCACCAAATTAGTAATACATCAAATCAGTAGTCCATCAAACTAACAGTCCATAAAATCAATGATCTAACAGTCTATCAAATCAATCAAGTCTATCAAATCCATAATTCATCAAGTCATCAGACAAATGTTGATTCAAATTTTTATTTCTCCAAAATAATATCCCATCAAATCAAATCAAATTAAATCAACAGTCTATAAAATCAATAATCCTGCAAATCAAAGACTCAGTAAGCCAATGACCCATCAAATTAATAGCCCATCAGTCAGTAGTCTGTCCAATAAAAAGTCCATCAATTTAATAATCCACTAGTCCATAAATCCATTGGCTCAATAATCTGAATAAATAATCCATGAAATCAATGACCCACCAAATCAATGGCCTATCAAATCAAAGCTCCATCAAATTCAAAGTCAATCAAATCAATAACCCATCAAACTAATAATCCATTAATCAATAATCCACCAAATTGATCAAGTTATGAAATCAATAGTTCATCAAATTCATAGACCGTCAATCAATGATCCATAAAATCAATAGTCCATCAAAAATCCATCAAACCAATCAAAACTCCTCAATAAAAGGTTCATCAAATCAACAGTTCATCAAATCAATCAAGCCAATCAAATCAATAGTTCATCAAATCAATAATCCATTGAACCAAAATCCCATCAAATCAATAATCCATCAAATCCATGATCCATCAAAATAATAATCCATCAAATCAATAATCTATCAAATTAACCACCCCTAGTCTTCCTCCCCTTCATCCAGTTCCTTCTCTTCCTCCCCTCCCCACAGCTCTCCTCCATGCCTTCCATGTCACCTCTGTCATGTCACCACCTCACCTGGGAGAGGAGTTCCTGGTGGCCTTCCAGCAGAATGGGGACCAACGCACCCTCCGCAGCGACTTCCGCCTCCTCCTTCTCACTGGCCCCTCCCCATCCACCACCGCCACCATTTCCATGAAAAGACCTGGATTACGGATGACGGTACAGGCAGCTGCTAACCAACCAATCCTGGTGAAGATCCCACCCCAAGCTGAGATGGTGGGAAGCCAACTTTTTGAAAACGCCGTGGTGGTGAAGACCACTGCTGCTGTCACCACAGTGATGATAAACGACAAACCCTCTGCAGCTGACTCTGCTGTCATTATCCCAGTCCACAGATGGGGGACAGAATACCACGTGGTCACCCCAAGCCCTGGCCCCGCCCACTATTCCCAATTCGTAGTGGCCACTTGGGATCAACCCACCACAGTCAATGTTCACCTCAATGCCGACGTCACCTTCCGTGGTAAGTTGCACCCACGTGGTTCCACCATCACCATCCTGCTGGAGCCGTTTCAAGCGGCACAGATCCAGAGCGCGGCAGATCTTTCTGGAACACGGGTTGTGGCTCAGAGACCCATTGCCATCTTCAGCGGCCACACATGTGTGGGCAGGTTGAGCCGTTGTGATCACATGGTGGAACAGCTCCGCCCCATCACCCAGTGGGGGACAACCTTCATCGTGCCACCAGTGCCCTTCCGGGGACAATCCAATGTAGCCTACATCTCTGCTGCACAACCAACGTTGGTCAAGGGTCACGGTGAGGTCACCGAGACCACACGAGAATTACAACCCAACCACGCAGTGCTCTATGGTGCCCAGTCAGGAAAGGGCTTGTTCCTCACTTCCGATGCCGGGATCCAGGTTTTTCTTTTGGGGAATGGCAGAAATAGTGGTGGGGTCACCTTTATGCCATTTTTTGTCACCGTTCCCGATGTCACCAGTTACTGCAACTCCTATGGCATTGTCACGCTGGAAGGATATGACAACCATGTACTGCTGGTAGCCAAGACAGCGGAAACTTCCAGAATACTGCTGAATCA